TATGTTTCTGAAAAGACCGATTCAATTGTGGACTCAAAATTATTAATTGTCGTGATCGGTGTCAATATCGATCAGATTAGAGCAGTACGAAAATGAGGATTTGCTCTGGTTCTTCTTAACTCACCACTCACCAGTACTGTACGCTCATAGATGTATATATTAACATATGTTTATACAACTATGTGTATGTCACTGTACCGAAATTGTCCAATTTTTTATAGTGAAGATATAATTATACCAAAATTGAATTGAAAAATGTAAATTTGTATCCAGTAAAACTATATTTCAAGGGCTCAAGGCTGATTCGCATTTAAAATTGCAAAATTTAGTTTAAAATAGTTTATTAACAACTGACAGATTCTCTCAAATCGATACAAATCATGTCTTAGAATTTAAATTTTATAAAAAAAACAATGCAGCGGCTGTAATATGTGTTTCTTATGTATATATTTAAATACAGTTCAGATCATTTTTATAGTATTTTCAATTTACATACATTACTATATATATCCGCCCTATTAGAGGGTCGGATCCATTTAATATTGTATATCAGAGACTGCAGAACAGTTGCTTCGTAAAAGCTTCGCCTCGTTCCATTAACTTCGCCGCCGTTCGGCGCAGTCTCGTTAGCTCATTATTTTAGTGGTGTTAGCATACATACTTGTAGCATATATAAAATATTGTAAAATGTGTCGAAAAGTTCGAAGTGTGATATAAAAAAAACTTTTTAGACTCTTTCTTTTTGGATAGAAGTTGCCCAGATGTTTTTAATTTATTGGTGAAAATGGTTTTTTAACGACGACAAAAGAACTGACTTTTTGGAGGTGTTTTCACGGACGTATAAAGATTTATAAACGTTGAAAAAGACTTCGCTGTTTTTTTTTCTTTATGCAAAACTCAAAAAAGTGCTAAATTATTTCTTTCGTCATATTTAAATCTTATTGAATAAATGGTTTAAATATGGTTTGTTTGTTTTATTTATGACCTGTAGTTCTAATCCTTAAGGAATGTGAGAAAACGAAATGTATTGATGGTGTTTTTTCCGAGAAAATTGATAAAATATTAGTCCCTTATGAAGATCTAGAGCAGTGTATAGCAAAGTGGTCTATATCTACCCCAGGGCTCGATAAAAACCTGCAAGTGGTCTGCGTGGGCGAAAAAAATTGGGGTCTATAAAATAAAAATGGGGGCCAATGACAAGATATTTCAATACTCACTCATACATTTTAATGCAGGTAAATATTTTTTACACTTGTTTTCCTCGTATAATGCGATTCATACTCAGGGAATGAATTAATGTCGTTGTTAGTGGCTTGAATTTTGCTGTTTGAAAGTTTGTTTGCTGGTGGGTATTTTCCCCCTATTGTCACTCTGTGTGATTCCACTGATTTCCTTGGTTGATCTTCATCCAGATTCAATTGAAAGTGTCACAAACATATTTGTTTCACCTAAAGTTTTCATGAAGCAGCCTATGCAAACATTAATATTTTTTCCATTATATTTAAAATGAAACATATTGGTGTATTGCCTAAATTTTTCTTTATCAGGATCATGTGTACGTTTTCGCATCACTAGCGGCTCATCTGATCCAACCAAACTTGATATAACAATGGCACGCATATCTCTGTTTCCCAAATCCCAATAATCCCTAAAAATGTTGTTCTGAAAAAACTTCTTCACATCCAACTTCCTTATTCCGAACAATTGCAGTACTGCCGCCTTGATCTAAAAATAATTAATCAATAATAATAGATAATAAACAGTTTTAGATTTTATCAAACCAAGATAAATATACAAAAATGTGTGCACACCTAATTCATCTTCTTGTAAAGGTATAGCACATTCGTCTCTATTTTCATGTTCATCTTTTATAGGCCTACTACTGCTCGTTTGTGCGGCACCTTCTTCTGTAGCATCAGCCACAATGTATTCTAGAGTATCTTCTTCGCTGGTACCCATCACAACAATACTTTGTACAGCACCTGCTTGGCCAGCACTTTGTCCAAAAATTTCTTTTGTAGCATCTTCATACCTTACATCGACTATTTCTATCTCAAACATAACATTGTCATATTTTGCTTCACCAAAAATTTCTAGAAAAAAATCAAAGAAAAACGTCAGTGAAACAATAGAAAGCAATAGCTGAATTTGTTATTCAAACCAGTCTGTCATAAGACTTTTATAAAATAAATCGTTGTATATTATTTTTTTCAACTCCTTTTGTTTCAAAGATGTTAAAAATTGGTTAAAACTTTTTAAATTACAGGTAGGTATGCCTTTTTTATACCACATTATAGGACTGTTAATAAAGAAATAATCTATTGTTCAACATTTCTGGAAAATGATGTGACAATAAAATACACTTAACAACATTTTCTTCAATTTTTTATTCTGATAAAAGTGCTTTCCTCTAGAATATTATGAATTTAAAAGTAACAAAATTTACAATTATAACGCGCATTGATATATGTTTTAATAAGTGCAGTTCACCAACATTAAAACAAAGTCACTTTCAGATCAATTATATCCCAAATTTCAGACAAAAACTAAGACAGTCTTAGTAAATAAAAGTTATTATTGTAAAAATCAAAAACATGTTAGTTTTCTTAACTTTTATTTCACACTTAAACAATATACATAGAAAATACTAAAAAACTATGGCTTCCATAACCTTACCAAACCATCTTCACTATAAGAACACAACATATTCTGATGCGGATGGTGTGATATACCGATAACGTCTTTCTCGTGTATCTAAAACAAAACCGTAACAAATACACTAACAAAAAATGTATCTTTATTACAAACTTACATTTAAAGTCCTTTCTAATTTGCCTGAATTTGTGGAGAAACAATATAAGACCATGTCTTCACCCACACAGTATATCCAATCTCCTCTTGGAGAAACAGTTGAACAGACAAAGTCACCTCCCTCTCTTTTACCGCTAGCAAATGATCTCACAATCTAAAACCATTTTAAAAATGTAAACACATAAATACTACCTAGAAACTTTTCAATTCATAGTGATATTTAAATTCATGAATTTCTTAATACAGAACTGATTTACTTTTTAAGTGATTTATTTTTTATATTTCTGTCTATTATAATTTTATTAAAAATTTTAATTAATAAGTCACACATTATTTAAAATATAAGTGTAGTAAAAGAATACCGGAGAACATATTAATGGCATTCAAATGGAAATTGAGAATAAATTGATATTGATACAAATTTCCAGAAAGTACATAGAATATAAAAAGTGTTTACCTGTCCTTGTAAATTAATAATAACAACTGTATTGGTCCTATTACAAACTACAAAGTGTTCAGGATTTTTGGCAAAATTATGGATGTTGTTGACTGCTGTGTCATTTGCTCCAAGTGATTTAAAAGTGTTAGTGCATTCAGTCGTTTTTATGCTCCATACTTTTACTGTACCATCAGAAGAAGCACTAAAATAAGGTAAAAGGGTATATTAGTTATCTTAAAACGATATTAAAAATCTAAATAAAGTATACAAAAAGTTTGGAGTCAAAAGAGTGGGAGAAAAATTATTTCTCCATTATTGACTATATCTATACATGTATCAATCAATGAGCACTACTCTAGTAATATCTTTATTAGTTGTGGCGAACCTCAAGGCTCTGTCTTGGGTCCATCATTTTCTTGATATATTTCAATGACATAATTAACCTCAAACTTAATGACCAAAATTTATTATATTTGCAGAATACACAACACTTTTATGACAAAACAAGGACTCTGAGGTACTGAATAATATTATTAGTATTGATCTGCTAAAATTCTTAAGAATGGTGCAAAGCTAATCATTTGACACTTAATTTTTCAAAAATCAAATTAATTTATTTTAAGAATAATCTAAACATCATTATTCTGGAAATGAAAGCATTTGTTCTGACCTCATTAACAAATTTTTAGGTTTCTATATTGATAACAAACTTAAATTTGAGCAACACACTTTATATTTAAGCAAAAAGATATCATCAGATTGCTTTGCTGCCAAATCAGTTGCACACTAATTAGATTTCAAGGTTGTAAAAAGTATTTATATGGCCTTAATTGAATCTAATTTGAGATACAGTATTGCCTTTTCGGGTAGCTCTTCATGATTTCAGCAGACTTTTTACATTACCTCAGATATTTATGCAAGGTCAGTTCATGGTAGCAAAATTTAATATGCTAAAATTTTCTTCAGAATATGTTGGCACTATCAAAGGATTTAATTTGCTAGATAGTTTTATTTCCCATACTTTCGTTGTTGGAAACTCGTCTCAACTACCTGCTATGCTGCAAAAAACCTGCATATTCATCAGACATAATTCCAATAAATAAAAAAATTAATGACATTAAAAAGGAGAATTCGCAACATTTAGGAATGGTTTATATAACTGGCCTACAACTATTCAGATTCAGATGCATTGTGAGTTCAAGATTATTAATGCTCAGTTTGTTTCAGTATCATATATGTATGTCTAAGTTTATGAGTTTAAAACATATAAAATATTGTGTAGTTTTTTGACAATGTAAAATACATACATAATATATCAAGTTTCTATGTATTTTGTGTGTTTCTTGCTTAAAATAAAGAAAGTTTTAGTACAAGTATTCAAAATTATGGTTCATTTCGAAAACAACATGATTCCACAAAATAAGTAACATTTAGACTTTTTTTTTTTGGATTTATACCCTATAAAACTTCTATAATATAGTTTACCTTATAATGAATATTCTAATATTCAGTTCTATTCCTGAATTTTTACACTCTTACCTTAAAATGTTGTGTCCATCTTGTGTGAAAATAACTTCATTTACAAAAGATGTGTGTCCTCTAAACTCTTTAAGGGTTTTTCCTGACTTTAATCCATGTATTCTAGAAAACAATAACATATAATATTTATCCATAAAAAATGTAATTAGATCCACACAATGGAAACTAACAAAACCTATGAAATTCCAGAAATAACATTAAATGAATTAACGCAAATAACAGAAAGGGAAGTGGAGGCACTAAGAACACTAAACAATGGAAAGGCCCTGGGAAAGATAGAATAGCAGACAATAGTTTAATGAATTCATAAGATTAGAAGGAATATATGAGAAATGGAGAAAAGTATTATTATATGACTATTTAAGAAGGCAAAAAAGCCTTTATAGATGAATAAACTCCATTAATTATAGAGGAGTAAGCCTGTTAAGCTCCATTTGAAACTAACAAAAATACTAACAAGTAAGTTATCAAAAATTCTTGATATATCAGATAAAAAACAAGGATTCTGACGCAGAAGCTCTTATAACAATGCAGTCATTGGCAAATAGTTAAGAAATCTATGAAATACAACAGAGTTGAGTTAGAAAAGAATTTGATAAAGTGGGTGGTTTAAGCACTGTATACTAGAGTAAAGTATCATTGGATATCATCAAACTGATAGAAAGTATATGTGTAAGGAAGGAAACTTGAGCCAGGCAGGGCCATAGAATCATACAACTCTCGAGAAGGACTTTAATGTCTAGATTTTCACAATTTCTGCAAATTTCTCTTTGAAATAAAACATACAATTGTAAACAAGTTATTGAAAGCAAATAAATTTTTTGGGGATACTCTACTTAAACTATATGTTTCAATGATTCTATTGATATATAACAGTTTTTAATTTTGACATTGTAAAGATAAAAAGATGTACATAAATACCTGATGGAGTGGTCAAAGGAAGCACTGAGAACTTGAGTGTTATCCCTTGAAAACTGAAGACAGGTGATACCTTTGGAATGAGCCTTTTCAATCTTTCTTAAACATTGTCCCGAGCTTATCCTCCACACCTTGATCCTACCAGTTTGAGATCCAGTTACCAACATTTCACTATCTCTAGAAAATGCCATACACAGCACTGCATGCTCCATCATCATAAAGTTATCCTAAAATATAAATTATTATTTCTATCAGCTCTGAAAACAACACTTCTCAAATACAGAAAAATATATATTAGCAATTTAAATTCACCTGTGCTTGGTATTTTAAATCTTTTCTAATTTTTCCTGTAGTAAAGTTCCAAACTTCTATTATACCATCAACACTACCTGTAACCAAATACTGTCCATCAGGAGAAAACCTAGCACATTCCACATGTGACTTTTGTCCAAATTTGATTTGTTTTGCCATCTGTGTGGGAAATGTTTCATCTTCCTGTTCCCTTACTGCAGCCTTACCTCTGAATAAATCAATAGTAGTACCAGGTGGCAGTAAACCTATAAATATAAACATTTTAGACTAACAATTTCTACAAAACTGTTTCAAGTCAGTACACACCTTGGTGCTGTTGCCATTTCAATGCTTGTCCAAGCAAAGCAAGTAACCTAGAAGAAGGCACTACAGACACTTCACCAGAAAGAGCATGTGCTATAGCTGCTCTTCTCTTTTCTTTACTGCTACCATCGGTGTATGCTTCCCTTGTATCAAAGTAAGATCTTGCCAATAAGTTTTCTAAAAGATAACTTGTACATTCTATATGTCCATTTACATATTCAGTATTAATCACTTACCCAAATGTATGTACCTTTCAGGTTCATTTTGTTTTAACATAATCATAGGATCAGTCTGTCTCAGCAAAGATCTTGCAGCTCCAAGTTCTCTGAGTTCAATTAATTCTAACACAATTTGCTCATACAAGTCTATAAGCTTTTTATCCGGAAGTTTTAATGATTGTATAGCTTTGAGCACAGTGTCCCAGTGTCCATTATTAATGTCTGCACAAAATCCATCTACACTATCAACAGTATTTAGTGTTACTCCTGTTTCTTCCTAAAAATGGGTATGGTAAAAATAAGATCGATAAAAAGAAATATAATAATTACTTGTAATGTATGGAGGGTCCTGAATAAGTTTGATTCTTTTAAATACTGCTGGATAAGCCGAATAACACTAAAAAACAAATAAACACAGGTTAGAAAGATTTTTCATGTGTATTTTGATTCTACTGATATTCTCGGTTAAACTTACTCGGCTGATTCAATTTCAATTGACATCCTTTATATATAATTTCTTAAGTTAATTTATGGGACGATAACCTTTTTTATTTAAAATTTAAACAACAATCCATAAGCAAGACTTCACGGACATAAAATTTGACATTGACGCTTGCTTGACACTTGACATCACCACAGCACACTTCAACATAGCAGTGCCAGTCCCATAATAATTAGTAAAGTGACAAGTGGCGCATTATCTAGTGCCAGGGTGCGTAACTATATATTTGTTGTCAAATCTGTCTGTACAAAAAACATGGCGGCTGATGAAAAGTCCTATTCTGTGCCCATGGTCCAAGGTTGGTAAATAGACAGGTCGTCTAATAACTTTACACCAATCAGCGTCGATAATCCAATGATGGAAATGACGTCACTGAGAATGCTACATCAAAATCATTCACTTTACTCCTTGAAATAAACTCGAAAAGCAGGAATGATTGAAGATATATAATTTCATGTATATTAAAAAAATATCTTTGGAATTTTAATGGTTATATATTTCATTCAATCTTTAAAAAATGTGGGAGATATCTACAGAGTACAGAAATAGCAGAATATTACAACTAAATATATGTATTTATAGTAGAATAGTACTACTCGGGCCAGCGAGCCTTTGTTTTCTTTTTAATATTATTTGTAGTTGATTAGGAGTTAAACAGTCTTTAAAAATATGTTTTGCTTTTTCCTCAAACTCAGTTTCGCCTTCCAGTTTAGCTGTCTCAAGTTCTCTAATCCATGATTTATGATTGTTTTCAGTCATCATCATCATCTCTGGTTCGACAATCCTCTGTGGATCTTGGCCTGCTCTAAGATTCGTCGCCATTCTGTTCGGTTTCTGGCAACATGTTGCCATCTTCTGATTTTTAATATCCGCGTAAGTCGGTTTCAACTCCATCTAACCACCTAATTCGCGGTCGGCCTTTGCTTCTTCTTCCTACAGGTGTTCCTGTGGTTAGCTTTTTAGCAATGTATTTTCTGGCATTCGTATTATGTGTCCAGCCCATCTAAGTGGCTGTGTTTTAATGAACGTTATGACATCTGGCTTATCAAAGATACAATTCAAAATTATATCTTCTGCGCCACTGCCCTTGGTCGTTTACAGCTCCAAATATTTTGCGGAGTATTTTACGCTCAAATATTCCCAAAAGTCTTTCATCTTTCTGAGTTACAGTCCATGTTTCTGCTCCATATGTGAGGACCGGCCTCATCAATGTTTTTTTGTAAAACTCAATCTCAAAAATAACTCAATGAATTAACACCATCTTTTTTCAGCTTTTTAGGTTGTATGTTTAATGGTTTAGCTTTTAAAAAGCTCATAATCTTTCATGCGAAAGTGTATACCTACTACAATCTCTTATTAACACAGTACCACTTATCTTTCCTATGCCACTTGATGATCCATTGCTTTTGAATTTTTACATTTTTTGGAAATGTAAAAAACATTAAATTTCTTCTATCCCGTTTGGACTTTTTTGAATCATTTTTGCAGATTGCTACACTGCAAATATTTACACCAGTTATTTGAATCAATAAAAAATATTTGAATTAATTTATGTTAAACATTTTCCTACGTTAATGCCAATGTTACCTTTTCTATATAATACATCAGAAATAAAATTCATTAAGTAGGTACTTAACGCAATCACATTAAATGTATTCTAAAACTTGTATAAGAGTTTTGTGTTTAAGTTATATACTGACAACACTCAATCATATCTATAGACACATTATATCTCAAGACACATTATATCATAAACAAAAACACTAAGGATATTTAACAACAAAATATGTTCTCCAAACCACTTACCGTATTTTCTTTTCAAACAATTCGTAAAATTGACACCCTGGGTGACGTCACGGCGACCTATTTTATTCTGTCAATATCATAGTTACCATGCAACCTGTGTTTTACTAACCTTGACTGCCATGCATCGAGCAATAAGACAAAAGAGGGAATGTAAAGGTAGTGGGGGTAAACATATTGATAGACAGGAAGTGCCATCTTGAGAGGCCACTTTAGACAAGGATAGACAGTCTCTTTCCTTGTTTAAGAAGTCAAATTTAGTTAGGTTATGTTATTGTTTGTCCCAACTGTCACATGAAATTTTATTTATATTGAAATCTTTTACCAATTGTGTCACTTTTTAGACTATTATAGTTAATATTTAATTAAAACTTTCTCGTCTGAAAAATATTTTATAGCTATTGTTAATAAGTGTTGGAAAATTTAAATTTAGCGCCTTTGCATTTCCGGATATGTCCGCCATCAGAGGCCACTTTTTTGGTCTCCTTTTCATAACGATTAGATTCCCTCTTTTATCTTTTTGCTCGATGCTGCCATGTATATATAGTTACGCACCCTGGCACTTGATGCGAAAATCGTTGTTTTACTCGTTCAGACGGGACTATCACTGCTAGGTGGGAGTGTGCTGTGGTGTCCATGCTTGACGTTTTCAATAGTGTTTTCAATAAACAAATACAAAAAGTCTATTTTTAGTGAAATTTGGAGTTGTTTAAATAAATTGAAAACAATGTCTCAAATAAGCACAAAAGAAAAGCTTCTATATATAATAGATGATATGGAATTAATAGCTAAGTAAGTAACAACACTACCTAATTATAAATATATATTATTCAATTTTTTTTTAATTTATTGTAGAGAAATTATTGAAAACGCTATTGCCCCAAAGAGTGCTAAACTATCAGGTCCAGAATATGCCCAACTTACTGATCTACTCGTAGCAAAGGATAATGAACTAAAATCAACACTTCAGCAAGCTTCAGAGCAGGCTCAACTGAACAAAAAATTGGATACTTTAAAAGCTGAAGTAGAACGCCAAGACCAAGACATCAACAATCTTCAAAAGCAACTAAAAGAAGCTGAGCAGATCCTCTCTACAGCCATATACCAAGCAAACCAGAAATTACAGTCCATTGCTAGAGCTAAGAAAAAACCTGTGTCATCTGAAGAGTTGATCAAGTTTGCCCATAGAATTAGTGCTTCTAATGCCATTTGTGCTCCTTTAACTTGGCAACAAGGAGATCCACGTAGGCCATATCCCACAGATATTGAAATGAGGTTAGGATTGCTGGGTAGGCTTGGAGATCCAATGAATGGACATCTGTTGTCACAGCAGAATAACATGTCAGACTTACATAGGCCAGGACATCCAGGAGGTAATTTTTTATTAAAAAACCTAATAACAAAAGTTGTTTTTCTTTCTAATATTTGTCCTTTTCATTTTCCTATATTATCTCCTTTCCACGTTGCTTTCCGAAGGTGTCTAGTAACTTAATTTTGTTTGTCATACATTTGTATTTTCTGTTGTCACCTTCATTCTGTATTTGTTAATTTAATATCTACATTTTTGTTTTGTTGTTTGGTTGTTATTCATGTCTTTAATTACTATTTATAACTGGGAATAAGCCACAATTAAAGATAAAAAATACGTTTATTGACGTTTCAATTTCCAATTCGGAAATCGTTCTCAAAATACAAACAGTAAATTATTTAAATTTACTGTTTGTATTTAAAACATTTATATTAAAACAGTAAACAATTTACTGTTTGTATTTTGAGAACGATTTCCGAATTGGAAATTGAAACGTCAATAAACGTATTTTTTATCTTTAATTGTGGCTTATTCCCAGTTATAAATAGTAATTAATTTACAATGCCACAAGAAAATAGCTTCAGAACAATATTCATGTCTTTATAGCTGAATATTTCTCTTTTTTCGAACTCTTTAATATTTAACTTTTATTTTAAATTAATATAATAATTAGTTTGCCTTTGCTTCTCTGTTTATTTCGTTCTTCTGTATATATTTTTATAAATAAATAAAATATTTTTGTTTGTTCTATTACAGAAATCCCTGCTGCTCAACAAAATCAATTTGCCTGGCATCCCACAGGGGAGATGCACATCAGCGTGGGCCAAGGAACAGTTCCTATGGATACAAGAAACCATAAGCAAGAAAATGAAGATGTTGAAGTGATGTCTACTGATTCCAGCAGCAGTTCATCTAGTGATTCTCAATAGCCTTGAAAGAGGGCAAGATATGTATAGGTCTATGCTGTTTTTTTACAATTTTTTATTTATTTTACGGATACATTGGTTTGAATCTTTGGGTGATTAGGTGTAAGTGTTAATTTTGAAGTGATTGTTGTGTTTTAAGAATATTAGTAGAATAAAAAAATCTTAAAAATGGTTTTTGTCTTTTATTTTAGTTTTAAATTATATAATATGTTATGATGTGTAAGGTACCTTATATGTGAAGGTATAACCTTACTGATAAGATAAACAGCAATATTCACATGTTCCCTTTTTGTACCCATTTTATTGCACAGTTCATCAGAAATAAAGTTTGACTGTCAACCAAAGTCTAACATGGCCTTACACAAATGATAATGGCCATGGGCATCACTAATAAGGAGAGTAACTGTTGAACGCAATACCTGAGTATCAGAAAAACAAGAAGAAAGAGTGATAGAACCATTTGGAGGCTCCATAATGTTCTGAGAAGAAGAAGCATGCTGTAAATTTGAAGGTACCCTTGAAGCATGTGAAGAACCCGAAAACTCAATATAAAATATAGTATGATGCTTCATACCACATTTTTGACATTTTCCGTATTTACAGTTTTTATTTATATGCCCCAGATGTAAACAGTTCAAACATAATTTATGACTCTTTGCTTCATCTGTTCTTTGCTTTACAGATAAATTAAGAAACTCTTGGACAATTTGAAATTTTGTGTGAGTTTTGACAGAGTTGACATACATATTCATTTGAAACAAATGATTTTGCACTTCTATTATTAAAAATTTTGCTAGCTTTTTTTAGGTGACCTCATTTTCATTGATTTTAAATGCTATATTTTTTAATATGTCAGCTCTTTTCTTTAAAAACTCTGAGTTGATCAAATGTATGGTGTGGAGGCTAAACCGAGTCCCGCTCATGTTCAGAAATAGGATCCAACTTACTAGATACTATATTCAATTAATTAGTTAAGTCAAAAGTGTGCCCCAGAATTCAGTGGATTTACTAAGAAATTTTAAAGAAAGTAAATTTCTTGAGATATTGTCTATCAATAGTCTTAAATGATTGATATCAAATTTATACTACAGCCAACGATCAAATGTAAAAATTGGAAGAGAAGTATCAGAAGAAGTGGAGATAAGGAGAGGGGTCAGGCAAGGTTGCATACTGTTGTCGTTATTGTTTAATGTTTATTCTGAAGAAATCATACAAGTAGCTTTGGTAAACGAGACAGTCGGCATAAAAGTGAACGGAAGTTTAATTAACAACATTAGGTATGCCGACGATACAGTCATAATAGCCGACAAGTTGGAAGACTTAGAAAGAGTCATGAACAAAATATTAAGATATAGTGGGGAATACGGACGCTTCCTTAACATCAAAAAAACTAAATTCATGAAAATGAGTAAGAACAACAATACAAATGAAATATTAACGGTAGGCGGCCAGCAGATTGAGAGAGTAAAAAGATATACCTACTTACTTGGGAACGACAATCACAGAAAATAACGATTATACTGCAGAGATAAGAGTCACAATTGAAAAAGCACGTGCCAACTTTGTGAAAAGATTTTATGCAGCAAAGATCTGACATTGGCCCTCAGAATAAGGCTAATTAAATGCTATGTACACAGTGTACTCTACTATGGAGCTGAATCATGGACATTAAACCGGAATATAATAAATCGACTTAACGCGTTTGAAATGTGGACATTTAGAAGATTGTTAAGGATTCCATGGGTAGATAGAGTCACGAATAAATAAGTGTTAAGGAGAATACAATAAAAGAAAGGAAATTGCAATATCTCGGACATGTAATGAGAGGCGAAAGATTCAACATCATCCATCCATCCAATGGCACTACAGCTCAAGCCGGGCCTTGGCCTCCTTCATTAAACCTCTCCAAACATCTCTATTTACTGCTGTTCTTTTCCATGAACGCGTTTTTAGGAGATTTTTGGCATCCTCATCTACCTCGTCTTCCCATCTCTTTTTTGGTCTTCCAACAGGTCTTTTTCCTTGCATTCTTGCGTTTAGTAATTTTCTGGGGATTCTGTTCTCATGTATGCGGGCCACATGCCCTGCCCATCGTAATCTCTGCAGTCTAGTGTATTGTGCTAGTGTTGGTTCAGTGTATTGTTCGTATATTTCGTTATTATATCTAATTCGCCAGTTATTTTCCTTTATTGGACCCAGTATTCTACGCAATATTTTTCTTTCGAACACGTCTAATGCATTGGTAGATTTCTGTGTTATAACCCATGTTTCACACCCATAACTTACTATTGGTCGGATTATTGTTTTATATACCCGGAGTTTTGTTTTCCGGTGTACGTCTCGCGATTTGAATATGTGGCCCATCGCGAAATAGGCTTTGTTTGCCAGCATAAGCCTTCTATTTATTTCCGGTTCTTCTTCATTATTTTCGACCAGATCCATTCCTAAATACGTGAATCTATTCACGTATTCTATATCGTCTATAAATTGTTGTTGTTGCGCCTGTCTATTTGTTCTGGTTTGTATGAGTAGTTTTGTTTTCAACATTCAACATCATGAGACTCATAATTCAAGAAAAAATAGAGGGTAGGAGAAGCGTAGAAAGAAGACGCGTTTCCTGCTTGAAGAACCTGAGAGAGTGGTTTGGTTGCAGCTCAAGGCAATTGTTCAGAGCAGCTGCCTCGAAGGTCAGAATAGCCATGATGATTGCCAACCTTCGTCACTGAGATGGCACTTAAAGAAGAAGAAGTCTTAAATGAAAAGAGATCTCTTTAATCAGTGTTGGCAAGTTGAATATTGCCTTTACATGGCTGTAGATTAAAATATCTTAATTTGCATATCTTTTACATACAGATTGAACAAATTTAAAACGGATCATACAATTTAATATATGTCTGTTTGAACTGTATTTGAAATAGTGGATAAGTATAAAACTTGGACAAAAATAGATCCATACCTGGGTATAGACATTGTATAAAATATCGTTCAACTATCTGTCTCGCATCAATGTTGTTTGCGTAAAGAAATCGATAATAGTTTAGGAAATGAAGCTCGAAAAAAGTTAAAACTTCGCAATTTTTTCGTCCTGCATGGATTGAGTTGAAATTTTAACAGAAGGTAGGTGATAGCTCAAGGATCAAAATCTATATCGAACTAATTCGAAAAAACTATCGAAAACTACCCCTAATTTTCAAAAATTGTAAAATAACATTACAAATCTTAAGATGAGTGAAATTTGGTTTGGATTAGTTAAATAGTGATTTTTTTATACTTCAAAATACAATTTCACACATTTTCAACCCTTAAAAATCAATTGTTATGAGTGCTATAGGTAAAAACAATTTTTTGCCAAAATTTTGCAACTTTTCAACTTTTGAAAATCACCCTTTACAACATTGCAGTTTTTATAAACTAATTTAATAGATAAAAATTGAAAAAAGTAGAATTAAATACAAAAAAATTTATCAACATAAAAAGGCACCATATATTCTTATACATTTACATAAATATTTGAAAATATTTACATTTATTATAGGTAAAACAATTAAAATATTAATTTTATTCTTCATCAATTACATCTTCATCGTGATCTATGTCATCCTCATCTTCTTCAATTATTGGAGGACTATTATTGCACCCTTCACCTGAGCACCTAAGTAGAGTTACAGTATAAACCAACTTTTCTGCACCCACATGAAACGCCGTAACTTTTTTTGCATTGGCAAAAAATACTTTTCAAAAGTTCATCGGGTGCAAGTTGTTTGTTCATGTGTACGGGTAATAACAAACCATCTTTGGAATACCATCCCCAATCTGTTGCTCTGATATTTTCATTGCCAAGCCATAGACATATGAGCAGATGTTTTATTCTGTTGTATGGGATTTCAAAATAAGAACTCTTAAAATTTCGAATGTATAACGCCCCACTACCTAATATACCGGTTTTGTAGATTATTATGCTCCAAAATGTACTGTACTATACTAATGGAATTTTCCGGAAAAAAAATTAATTGGTTTTTTTTAACGTATTTCCTTTATTTTTAACGATAGTGTGTTTCTTCGAAAACGATTTTGTAGAGGTTTTTAAGAGCTACAAGGATCTGTGAATTAAATCTTTTTGGAACCCTTGGTTTTTAAATGGGGTGAGTTTAAAGGGCTCGAAAAAGATGGTGCTTGATCGTAAATCGATGCTTTAAACAGCTATATCTCGCCAGATATTCATTGTACAACAAATCTAAATAAAGGAAAATTTTAGTCATTAAAAAAGCTACAATTTAGTACATTTTTTTCATATATTCAGTATTTTCGGGGATATTTAAAAAAAGAAGGATAAAAAATATGAAATTGTAAATCGTTTCTCGCTTTATGCCCTACTTTTTCTAAAACTAAGCATTTTAAATTGGTCAAACTTCTTGGACGTATTAACAATACATGTACAAAGAGAATTGCAGAAGGCTGAAAATCCATTTTAATTATGGGGATGGTTAGGGGGTTGTTTTCATCGATTTTTTTGTAAAAAAATGAGGTATTGACCTTATTTTCATCATAACTCACTCAATTTTTGAGCTACAGTCTTTTTTTATGATAGGTCTATTTATGCTCTTTAAAAAAGGTTGCGTGAGTTTTTCTTTTAAAAGTGCATCATTTTCCTGATATTTGACTTTGAATCTTTCAAATTTGGCATTTGAAGAAAACCGCTGAACATTGATAGGCTGTATTTCGGTTCCTGTTATATCGCAAAAACATTTGAAAAAATGAATCGTATTTGTCTTTTTAAAAGCTACAAATTTGTTCTCTACAATTTTTTTGACAAAATGCACCATTTTCGAGTTATTCGCGAAATATCGATTAAAAACGTCGATTTTTTCGTCTAAAAGTTGTTACTTTCAATCGCGAATAACTTGAAAAATATCAGTTTTACAAAAAAATGTATAAAACATTTTTTGTTTAGAATCACTTTTTTAATCGAAACCTGTAGTTAAAACGTAAAAAAAAAAATTTCACCCCCGAGATGGGGTGGCAACCACCCCCAAGGCTTTGGCATACTTTGGTTCGATATAGATTTTGATCCTTGGCTATTACCTAACTTCTGTTAAAATTTCAAGTCAATCCACGCAGGACGAAAAAATTGCGAGGTGAAAAGCTTCATTGCCTGCACTATAAGTG